AATGTAGAGAAAAAATTTCGGTTTTTTTGAGCTTTAGAACTCCTAAAAATATCAAAAACTGAAAGATGAGATAGATTTTTTCTGTAAAAAAACTTTCAAAAATGACCCAGAGACCGTGCACAGGAAATTTTTATTCACAATAAATCATGTAAACCGACAATAATCAATTATAGAAAAGATCCCAAGGTTAGAAAATAAATTCAAAAATAGCAAAGTTCACAAATGTGCAAATTTCCTTGGCGTCGTTTTGAAGGGAATCGGTTTTGGTTTTGGCCGCAATTCCAATGGAATATCCTTGACACTAATTTGAATTTCCGCCTCTCCAAATTCCACAAAAACTTCATAGTCATGCTTTTCAGACACGAATTTCAGCTTTTTGGGATTCTCCTCATCCGAAAATTCTCCAAATTTGTAGTGAGCAAGGATTTGTTGGATTTCTTCAAAGTTCAGATTTTCGTCCAAATAAACCGTGCACCCTTGTGTGGCAATTTGTTTTTTGAGGACCTGAAAAAAAAGCTACACGATGACTTTACTTTTGAAAGTTGGGTTTTCTAGGCCACCATGCTCGAATCATCTAAAAATGGTCTGACATTCCCCGGGTGTGTTTTCTAGGTCATTCTGAAGTGATGGCCTAGAATACTCAAATTGCAAAAGTTAGGCCATGATCTCAAAATGACCTGAAAAATATACCAGGTGAATAACATGACAATTCTAGGTCATGGTGATCTAGAAAACCCAAGATGCGAAAGGCCACCACTTCAAAACGACCCAGAAACACATAATGGGCATGTCAGGCCGTTCCTAGATCATAAAAGTTGGTGGCCTAGAAAACCCAAGATGCGAAAGTTAGGCCACCACTTCAAAATGTCTAACTAACCTCACAAATATGCAACACAAGCCACGCATCGAGCTTCTCCAGATTAACAATTTCAAAGTGATAAAAATAGTTCCAATTGATTTTAATCAAATCACGAATCTCAATTTTTTTCGCTTCCATCCATAGTGGAATTTTCGGGTAGATAAACAAATCAATCGCTTCATACTGTAATCTTTCCATTGAGTCCGATTTGGGGCGAAACTTTTTATTGGTGCTGGACACTTTGGAATCGTCCCAAACCCAAATTGAGAGTCCGTCGACTGGTTGCAGCCAGTTTTGGAGCCAATCTATGCAATGATGAAATGAAAACATATGAGAAATTTTGGGGTCGAAAGCGAATCTTCTACTGAGCGTAAATCTGAATTTAGAGACTTCCAAAGTCTTCTTTGCGATCACTTGGGTCATAAACATTCTCATAAGATAGAAGACGTCAAGGTTCGGAAAGACTCCTGGATGCAGAGGACTGTAAGCCTCAATGTAGAATGCCAACCAGTCCAATTTCAAATTCACTCCTTTCAAAATGTATACAAAATCGCAGCAGGCCACATCCTCATATTCCTTTCCATTGACTGGTACTAGCTTTTTGTCTGCTCCATATCTCACAAGTGCTCCATTTGGTTGCCAAAAATATTGAAGTTGAATTTTGGAATCGTTGAAATCAATCAAATCGATTTGAATGATTCTGTAGCCTGTTGTCCAGGCAACTGACTTGATAGGAAGGTTGAGGCAGTCAGCTACTCGGGAGGATTCGGTACAAATTCGGCGAATGAAGAATCTGAAAAATTTTTCAGTTTCAATAAGTTGTCTTGAGAGTTTTCAGAAGATGAAATTTGATCATTTTTCTTCATGTACATAGTTGACAACTTTCACATCAAATTTCATTCAAACAACATATGACGTAGAATCATAAAACTTCTATCATTTAATACGCCAACTTCCCAACGGATAATCTCGTCTCAAAGAAACAGTATATAAAAGTAGTCAATTCTAAAAATGAAGCTCTACTTTTTTTTGGAAACCTCAAAAAATTTCAGACAGAATGAACTACGAAAACCTGTATTAGAAGGGCCCCTCTATTAGAAAGGCCTTCGAGATGACCTTGGAAAAATAAAATGGGCCGCTGTAATAAAGGCGCTTTATGATAAAATGGGTAGATTCTCGTGAACTTTAAACGAGAATGCAGCGAACTTTTTGATTAAAATTCATGGAAAACCGAGTGGAAAAGTAGAAGGCTAATTAAAGAACCCCTGTAACAAAAGGGCCCCCCCCTGGAGGTACCTTGGAATATTAGAATGCCCTGCTCTTCTAATAAAGGTTTTACGGTAGTTTTTGTCATTTTTGTGAAGCGTCCAACCGAAGGGACTGCGTAGCTGGTTACCCCCTTACTGTCCCCTTACTCACAACTTAAAAATATCCTCTGAATTCTGAATCATCTGCGTCTCATCCCTCTCGATTTCTTGCATCTCATCAACCATTTCGTCCAAATAAATCTCATAAATGTCAGCCAACGGAATTTGATCGTTTGTGTCATTTTCAAACGTCTCATAGACATCATAAGTCCCCGCACGCTCAACCCAATCGATTCGAAATGGTCTTAGTGGCGTTTCAGACATATTCACAAGGACAATGGGTCTGGAACCTTCGTATTTCGGCTTTTTGGGATTCGGTCCGTTTGGAGGCTCCTCTTTCGAGAAGTGCGCACCTCTTTTCAGAAGTTCTGAACTGGAATTCGTGGTTGAGAAGCTCCGATCTCTTTCCACAGCTTCAACTAGTCTTGCTGGCACAGCTGGTGATGGATCCGAGAAGCTCCGATTCTTGGAAGATGGTCCGGGAAGGTCTTCTGGCGTTGACACCGGTCCTTGGTATTCATCAGGAATCGGAGCATCGTGACACCAATTTCTTGGATCTTCTGAAGACTTGAATTCCACTGAAGGGCCAGGAAGCACTTCTTTTGGAGCTAGGTTTAAATCTGCGAGCATTCTGGAAATTCTCGCTTCCTCATCTTCAGACACTGTTCGATGTAGAGGTCTTGGTGGTGGGGTTTCTGGAATTTTGAAAATAAAATTTAGAAATTTCGGGAAATTCTAGAATACCTTGTTTTGAACCTCTTGAACTTCTCGGCGTGTCTCCTCCTTCTCCCCTCAAATCTCTCAAAATCTGACTACAAACTTCTCGATGAGCCTCACGAATCGATAGCCGTTTTCTGTACAACTGTTGAACGTATTCTTTGAGTTTTTGCCCATCGGTTTGCAGTGGGTGGCTCATTTGAAATGTCTGAAACTAAAAAATAGGCGAAAAATTGGGCGGAATCAGTCAAAAAATCAGAAAAGAATCCAGGAAAAAAGTGCGAAAATTGGAGGGAAAATCGTGGAAAAATGAGACAAAGATGAGTGGAAAACAACAACAAAAAGAAGAGAAACAAGTCGAAAAGGCGGGGTTCTTGAATTTTGGGGTAGATCAAAAATTTAACAAATTGAAAAAAATCTGATTTTGAAAATTTTTTCCGGTTTCAAGGAATGGAGAAATTATTAGAGTTTTTTGAAACTTTTAGTCTTAGGAGAGATTAAGAAGGTTCGAAAAAATTTACTTTTTTTCAAGGAGTTTCACCGATTTCAAAAGGAAAAAATTCAAGAGATATTTAAACGTGATGAAAAAAAATTACTTAAAAAACTCACGACCCTTAATGACCCATTGACCTCAGAGAGAATACTATAAACGAAGAGTGAAG